CTCTGCTATTATATTATTTCCTACCTAAATTATATTTCTCTGTATTCTTAACTTAGACTCAACTGTTCTACTTCATTCCAATCTGCCATACTGCCTTCCAAATTATCTTGCATAAAAGTGAGGTAAGATCATGCCTCCCCCATTCTCTAAAACCTTCAAAATCTCCCCTTATCTACAGAAAAAGCTCCAATGTTTTTAGAATGATATTCTATGTTTTCTACAATCAAATTTTAAGCTACCCTTCCGAGTTTTATGTTCTGGTACAATCTCTACCTTCTCCATACCAGGCTTTTAACACCCATTTTCATACATCTGCATCTTTCTTCATACGGTTCCCTCAACCTTAACTACTTCTCTACCTACCCAAATCCTATTCATTCTTTACACCATATCTTGAAGTTCCTTTGGGAAATACTTTCTGAGCCATTGTAATTCACGTATTATCTCTTGTCATTCGCCATGAGTAGCCACTACTGAAGCAGCTACTCCAGTTTTCCTCACATACATTATTAATGTATATGTCTGCCTCCATGTGCAATCATAAACTGCTCGAGAGGAGAGATTGTATCCTGGTCCAGTTTTTACCTTTAGCACCATCCACACTGCCTATCACAAAGATGCTCAATAAATGTTCATTAAATAGAATAGCCGAATGTATTCCAAAGATATTTATTAATGGTATTCCCTTGTCAAAAATTCTGCTAAACAACAGAAACAATCCATGGAACCAGAGTTCTTGCTCTTAACGAGCTTAGAGTAAAGTAAATTCAATTTTGTGAGATCTATGAAAAGCAATTGGATCTGCATGATTCTCAGTTCTAGGATTGTTCCACACAGATGTGCCTGAGGGTTGAAAAAAAAAACCCACACAAATCAACCCATGTGGAGAAAACAGAGTCTATATCTGACTTAGCATAGAAAAAAAGTCAAATCCAGTCATACTATTATGGACTGAAAGTTTAGTTCCAGGAGGAGATTAACAACAGCAAGTATTAATAATGTAGAACAATGATAATAATACACTGCCATAAAAGTTATGTAAACGTGGTCTTTCTCTCCCTCTCTCTCAAAATATGTGCTGACCCTTCTTGTGATGATGTGAGGTGGCGCAATGTTTACATGATGAGATGAAGGGAGATACTCAGAATAGCATATGCAACCTAAAACTTTTTAATTGTTTATTTCAGGAATTTTTTTTAATGTTTTTGCACCACAGTGAGTAACTAAAACTGTGGAAAGTGAAATTGCAAATAAGGTAAGACTACTCCACAGCAAGAAGGTGGCCATCTGCAGGCCTGGAAGACCTCACCAAGAATCCAGTCTTCTGGCTCCTTGATCTTGGACTCACAGCCTCCAGAGCTATGAGAAATAAATGACTGTTGTTTAAGCCTCCCAATCTCAGACAGATAGGCTTATATGTTTTTCAGCATCAGTACTAAAGAACTAAGAGTCCCCCTCAGTCTTCAATCTACCTACCTCCAAATTCTAGAAAGCATGTGTGTTGAATCTCAATCAGAACACACTTTCCAGCACTGTTCAAAACTAGATTTCCAGAACAGATCAACCTAACCACTTACTGTGTTGTCACAGCACCTGGTTTATAACATTGCACTTTTATTGGGTCATTTGAAAAATACTGGAAAACACACAAAACAGAATTTACCTATTATACCATTGCTTTTTATTTCTGTTTAAAATAAATGTCTCTCCATTCACCAGCACTACTCAGAAGTAAATTTATGAGAGCTCAGTTTTTCCTAATTTTATATTTTAAAAGCAATTTTATATTTCTTCTTTCATAAGCCTGAGAATTTTTAGTGATCTCTTTATCCACAGTATCTCGCAAGGTGCCTCATATGGATGTTGTGCTTAATATTAACCACCGTCATCTCTTCAATGTTTCCTAAGTGTTTGGAACTACACTAAGTATTTTAAACATACAAATTTTCATCTCACAAAAGCACTAAAAGATAAATGCTACTGTAATCCCTACATTTTATAACAGATAACTAAAGATTAGGGAAATTAGGGAAATTGTTTTATTACTTGTGAGTGTTGAGTGCTAGATTTAAACAGTAAATCTAATTCAAGAAACCCTGTGTCAATGCACTCGATTACATTGTTTTACCAACTATTTTTTAAGAGAATCAATGTTGAAATCCCATATACAGATGATTTGAGAACATAAAACTTTTTAGTTTAGTCATTCTGCCCTACATGTCAATTTTAAGTCTATTAAACTTATAGAGAAAAATTTGTTTTGATAACCCAATGAAAATGAAAGAATGCCAATTCTTAATAATTCTGCTAATGGAAATAATCTATAGAAAAATTGTAGACTGCCCAAACTCATTTGTTTTTGCCTTTGAAGTTAATTATATGAGTTTGTATAGAATGTTTACCTTCCTAATTACATATTCCTTAGGCTTAATACTGAAATGAGACTGTGCCCTGGAATAACATTTTTTGAGCCCCTTCTGATAGAAAAAAACAGAAGGGAAAATTTAGCCCCTGCTAAATATTCTAAAATTAAATATTTGCAGCATATAACCTTTAACATGGCATATCGACTTGCAGGTAACTGAGAGATTTAGAACCTGGCCTCCAACAGTGACTAGGACAAGGTTTGGTGCTGCACGCGACTTGATCAAATACCTCTCCTCTCTGAAACCAGGCTGCACATATTACCTTTACTGCACACTGGCACTTAATTATTCCTGATCCCAACTCTGCTAATTACTAGCAAATGCTCCTGAGATACTTATATTAACTCAGCTTCTCTAAAACGAGAGGATGAGGGTATTTCAATGAACTTGGCTTTTCCCTTAAGACTAGTATTAATTCTTAAAGTATTTCCATAGAACCCCAGCTCTTGAAAATACAGCAGAGAAGCAAACAGAATAGAGAAACTCTAAGGTCCATTTCTAATGCCAGCAATTCTAAACTCCATGACACCTTATATTAAATGAATATTTTATTTTGGTGTGTGCACGTCTTAGTTCTTCAATTACCCTGCAGGTTCCCTTGATGTCAGAGACTGTATTTTACATAGTTTACTGAATCTATGTTAAATGTTCAATGAACGTTTGCTGTAACGATGAATGAACAGACGCCATTCCACAGCTACCCGACCCAACATACTCCTGAAGGACAGGAACACAGGCTTATGTAACTTGGGGACATCGGGTGCACTACTGAGTGGGAGGGGGGCCATGAAGAGTGCCTCCCAGTCCTCTAAATGCAATTAGTTCCTCTTGAGAAAGTTACTGCTCCATTAAACACACTATTTGTGCAATTTTTTTTCTTTTTTCGTGTCTCTGGTTCTATTAGTATAAGTGTTCTCTAGTTACTATCCCTCCTAGGCCACAATCATTCAACTGAGGTGGCAGGTTGGATCTGCCCACACCCAGCCACCCAATTCCATGGCCATGGGACACTGGCACCTATTCCTACACTGCATTTTCCTGTCTATTTGACTGTGAATGTAGGTGCAAGTAGACAGTGTTGTCAAAAGCAAGGACAAAGATTTGGGGGGGAAGCTTCTCTTTAGAACATTAAGTAGAACATAAATAGGTAGGAGAGATGATGTGGAGAGAGAATTTGCCTGAGGCAAATTAATTAATTAAAACAGAGAAATTAGCTATTTGAGGGAACACTATGTGAAATATTTGTCAAGTTAAGTACATTAATTTTTATTAAGTATGTGATGCATAATATTGCTTTGTTTTGTCCTGTGGGGTGTGTGTGTGTGTGTGTGTGTGTGTGTGTGTGTGTGTGTGCTCCAATGAGTCCACTTGCAGTTACTTCCCACACTTTGAGCTTCAGAGGTTACAACAAAGCGGGGGTGGAGAGCATATGGCTCACCAGCTGCTAATGGTGTGATTTGCTTCTTTTTGCTCCTAAATTTTTCTCTTGCTTCCTCAATCTCTAAGGGAAGATGAGTAGTTTTAAAAGCTGGTTGTAGTTCACGAAAAACAAAGGTCTGATCTAAAGAAGGGACAAAAGTAATTCAAGGATTTTTCACCTTACAAAAGAATTCACAAAAGGATTTCTTTAGTATACTTCAAACACTAAATTTATACTATTACACTTAACCCATTACTTTCAGGAGCGCATGAAAGTATACATAAAGTACACTTAATGATATATTTAAGTTAACACAATATATGGATCCCCAGGAATTAATGACAGAGAGAATGACTTGGAACATGTAATATTTTCTTCAACTCTATCTGATTTATTTGAGATCCTTGTAATGTCATCCAATGTTTATATTCTTGCTGAAAACCATAGATCACACATCATTCATTTATTCACCCATTCTCTTTAAAAAATGAGTTCCTGTTATAACCTACTTAATTTTTAAATGTCTTACAGTCTAAGAGACTCTGGCAATAAACAGAACTGCTTGCATATTCGATAACAGCAAACAAACAAAACACATTCACAGGTAATAACAGAGAGAGAATATCAGTGGGCCTTGCTAATCAACAGCAGCACGGCTTCTTGAAGAGTCAGGAGTCTGAGCCCAGGGTTATTCATTTGTAATCTTTGGTAAGTGTGCCGTTATCTCTAGACTTCGGTTTCTTTTCTCTGAATGGTGCTGGTGGCCTAATTAAACTAACATATGTAAATTATTTAATATATTACCTGGAACAGAGTAGGTTCACAATGATCATCAACTCTGTTTTGTGTAATTAGTATTACTACTTTATCATTATCGTCACTACTGTTTGCCTTATCTTAAATAATTTAAATTTTTTTTCTTATTTCTTTGCCAGGTATGAACCAGCCTTCTTACACTCAGTCATTAGTCTTCCCAACTCAGAAGTCAGCATTTTCAGTTAGGTAATTCTTCATGCTATAAATGGAGCCATTTATCAAGACTCACCAAATTTCTCCCTCATGGGCAAGAAGAAGCCACCCTGGAATATTCCCCATCCGTTGAAATGTGTGCTCGGGCGGTGACACGGACGGAAATCAGTGCAGCGGGAGCTAATGATCTGGTTCCATTAACAATCGCTCATTTGGGTGGTAAGTGACCTGAGACCAAGAGAAAATGCAATTTTGTCTGCCAATACAGTAAAAAAATGGTTGCCGTTACAGTTCTATAGAGATTATAATCAATGATACTTTTTATTGGCTCAATTGAACTGCATTGTAGCCAATTAAATCCCTGTTTTGATGACATGGAGTAAAATAAAAGTGTCTAGTATCTTTGATGGCTTGTACAAAATTAGCTCACGTACAACAGCTTTAGCCTTAATGCCATTTTAATGGCAGGAAGTCACCTTGTTCAACTGACAAATTAACCTGCTCTCTAACCAAACTATTTTGATCTCTGGACTGAAAAAAAAAAAAAGTTTTCACATCTTCAAAGAAGAAAATGATTTTCCTTCTACCTACTTCTAAATTCAGGTTTTTGTCATTTCTTTAAATATATGGTGCAATTTTGACTTATATGGAAATTGGCAAATTTACGATTTTATTTCCAACAGATTGTACTATGGAAAAATCATTGAAATCTTTAAAGCTGTCACATACTTTTATTATCCAGAAAAGTATATGAATAAACACTCATGAAATATTATTTTATCTAACATTGTTTAGATCTAATTATGCCAAAGTATGATTTTCTTTTCACAAGAATTATTATGGAATACAAATGTGAGTATATAGGATAAAACTTTTGGTTTAAGTTAAGTTTCCCAACATTTTGGGCTTTGCCTGATATTCTCCATGTTTTCAAATCAAACCAGTTTTATTTCAAGGAAGATATGTACCCTGAAGCCATGTAGACCTAGTTAATTTGGCACGGCCCGTCTTAGTGCTGTTTTCTAAACTTCGTTATCAGAAAGCTTTCGTAACATAAAAAGGACATACGTCAGTAAGATCCATTTTGTATCAGAAATTTACTAAGAAGAGAAACTGAAACAAGGGAGAAATCTGTTTCTTCTCTGTCCTTTCTGACTTTTTAAATTGATTTTTACTTCAAACGTTACTGAGCTCTTAGTTTGTGACAGACACTGTGCTAAAAGCTAGATATACAAAGATGAACAGAACACGATAATTTTCTTTCAAATGTTTAGTCTTGTTTTTTCAACTACTGAAAAACAAATTTCGCCTTTAATTGGCTGGATGATGCTGAAGGAAAGTGAGAAAGTGTGAAAGGCAGGAGGTGAATGGAGCCAATTGGACAGCTGTAAAACATCTGTCACTAACATGAGCACTGTAGCTATTGTGTTCAACAGAACTGGCGCCTGCTTTGAAGAAACAGCCAAATCCTTTTATCAAAAGACCTGTTAGGACACTGATGGTCAGCACCCTATTTAATTACCGGCAAAGGAAACTATCGTGGTCTAAGGAAGAAACTGAGAAATAGTTGAGGTAAGAATAAAAAATAAAAACAATAAAAAAATAAAGATTATAGTTTTAAACACTTTTTATTACTTTTTTAAGTTGTAGGCACCAGGAAAACCACATGATACTTTCTTTTTTTATAACAGGTTGGTTGGTTCATTTGATTGTTTTAATTAAATAAATGTAAAAGTATCACATTTAAAATAGAATCTGGCCCTGGCTGGTGTGGCTCAGTTGGTTGGAACATTGTCCTGTACACCAAAAGGTGGTGGGTTTGGTTCCCAGTCAGGGCACAAGATTATGGGTTCGATACCCAATATGGGAGGCAACTTATGGGAGGCAACTGATAGATGTTTCTCTCTCTCTCTGTCTCTCTCTTCCTCTCTCTGCAATCAACAATAAAAAAATAGAATCTAGGGGAAAAGCCCCTGCTGAAACAGGTGCCAACATTATATCCTGCATTCCTAACAAAAGTGGAAAGGTCCTTCACTGTTCCCTTATAATGAACTGGATCATGAAGCCAAAGACCTTGTCAACTAGAGCACCAATCAACCACTCCTCTGCTGCCAGAATGCCATCTCATCCCTCTGGCTCCACATCCCTCCTCACTGATAGCCTTCTTTTAAAATCTAAATACTAAGATATGCAGAAACAACTGGGTAGAAATTGTAAAGAGTCCTGGATAATGCAAAGAAATATTCACATTATGATTATTATAACACTATTTTTTTAAATTATCTTTAAACAGAAAAGACTAGATGAAAGCCACTAGATAGCATATTAAGGAGCTGTCCATATATAGACCTGAAATAAGGAAACTTCACACACATTCAGGAAGGTATCAAGAGAGACCTAGGGGAAATCTGCATGGATCTCTCCACAATTTAAGTTGAATAAATAGAAAGTCAGAATAAAATGATATATATATATTATCTTTAAAAAAATCCCCACAGAGAAACAGATAGGATATAATATTCTGACCTCTTCTCTGAATCTTCCAATAGCTTTCAAGTGGCATGTAAAGCTATATTGTAGCCTGAAGGAAAATAAAATATTTATTATATAAATATTTTAACATATTTTAATAGATAAGTTTGTTCCAGATAATTAAGGTATTTTTTAATGTTAAAAAGTTTTAAAGTAGGTATATTAAAATTCATATCATTAAGTTTAAATATTTTATTTATACCATAACAGAATTTTTAAAATAATTTTACTTTCTTGGTTTTAATAGAAAGAAACTCATTGACAACATTTTTTACTTTAAAAAAATTTTTTTAACTTTTTTATTGTTGACAATTACAGATGTCCAACCATATTTTTAACATCTACTTTCTTTTATCTCATTTTTAGTTGAAAGAATTGCCATTCTTTTAAAAAATTTTTGGAATTTATTGGGGTGAAATTGGTCAATAATATTATAGGCTTCAGGTGTACAATTCTATAATACATCATCTGTATATTGTACTGAATGTTCACTACCCAAAGTCAAGTCTCCTTCCATCACCAGTTATCCCCCTTGACCTTCTTCCATGTCCCCACCCCCTTTCCCTCTGTAATCACCATAACAGGATTGAGTAAAGAAACAAAAAACTCATAGACATAAAGCACTGCCATGTTTAATAATGTAGTGCGATCAAGTAATGATAATAAATCATTTTAATTATTTTTTTACTTAATATCACTATATATCTAAACTTTCAGGGTGCAACTAAACTGATATTTAGCAGAAAATGTATAGCCTTAAATGTATATGTTCCAAAACAAAAAAGGCTAATAAATATTAAGCCAATTATCTTTCTTAAGACATCAGAAAAAGCACAAGAGAACAAATTCAGATAAAGGAGAAGATAATGAAGAGAAGAGCAATAATTAATGAAATAGAAAACAACATATAATAGCAATTATCAAAAAAGTCAGATGTCATTTTTATTTGGAAAGACTAATATAAGTAAAAAAAACACACAAAACCTCTGTTGATGTTAAGCAAACAAAACAGAGAGAAGCTATCCACACAAAGCAATGATAAAAGGGGACAAATAAATTCAGCATGCTTTTCAAGAATATTAAAATAGTTGAAAATATTTTTAAATTGAAAGGTAGATATACCAAACAAAATAAACATCTTTATGCTAATGAATTGCAAAACATGAAATTTACACATCTATATAAAAATTTAACTTGCCAAAATTGAGTTAAGAAGATATTTACTTTGTATAAACCACACTCTACTTTTTAAAAATATTGAGCTGAAGCTTGAGCTAAAAGTCATTCCCTCCACACCAGAACCCAGGAATTCCACGCCAAAGAGTAGTTCTTATATCCACCAAAAGACATGTTCAAGAAGGTTCATCACGCTTTCATCCACAACAGTCAAACTCTAGAAGCGCTTTGAGCGCTCATGAACACTAAAATGAGCAAATAGGTAAGAAGTTAAGTATATGAGAAAATATAGTGCCTTCAAGGCTCTGAACTAATTTTTTATGATGAGAATATAAGTGTTAGGGTGGGAATCAAAAGTGAAGTAGCCTAGCTAGAAAGTTGGGAAAGTCACAAATACCAGAGAATCATAAAAACCGTATTAAGGAATTTGTACATTTTATCAAGAAAGGCATTGACAAGTTTTAGGCAAGAAAGTACTACAATCAGATGAATGCATAGTTTAGAAGGAGGCTGTGGCTGCAGAGAATAAAATGGGTTGATACAGATGGTACTATCGTTGATGCAAGAGTATTGGCTCTTTCATAGCACCCAAAAAGCTTCTTAAATTTAACTTCTTACAGAGGCTTTCCTTAATTTTTCTAAAATAGGTACCACTCTGTTACCCACAGGGCTCAATGTTTTTCTCATACTCCAGATTTTTAGAATTTTTCATCATTTATTGAAATTGTTTTTGTTCATTTTCTACTGTCTTCTAAGATGTAATATCCACAAGAGCTGAACCTTTATTGGCCTGTTTCCTGTTGAGTCCCCAACACCAAGAACAATATTAGTATATAGTAGGTATTCAATAAATATTTGTTATATTAGTTAATAAATGATTCCCCAAAGCAGTGCATTCTATTATAGATATAGTTTAGTGTTTTGTAGATGAGATATTCATGTTATTCTTCAATCTACTATATAACTGCTTGCACAGTTAATTCACACATTTTAATAAATGATAAAATATAGGCAATATACATATATGTTATGTATTATCTCATAATATATAAGTATATTTATGCCTGTATTAACACATGCCCATTAGTGCAGGCAAGTGTAAGAGAGGTGAAAAGGGATTTCAACCATCTGAAAACAAGCTCATTCATACAATAACTTCTCAATATCTTTGCTGACAGTATCCTTTCCAGAAAAAAAAAAAATTTTGGTGCTCTTCTGATCCTCATCTGATCATCAAGGAAAAACTGTCAAAATTGAATCCAGTTCAGACTTGACAAGATATTGATCTTTAGTTTTCCTTTCTTGTAATATCTTTCTCTGATTTTGGTACAGGTCAATGCTGTCCTATAGAATGAGTTAGGAACAGTTTACTTTTCTTCTATTTCCTGGAAGAGATTGTGGAGAATTTCTATCATTTCTTCATTAAGTGTTTGATAGAATTCATCAGTATAAACATCTTGGCCAGGTGATTTCTTTTTTCTGAAGTTATTAATTATCAACTCAGTTTTTAAATAGAGTTG